GGGCGGAGGGAGGGGCCGATAAGGCAGAAGGGCGGGGCCGAGGGGGAGAGGGGAGGGGCCGAGGGAGACGGGAGGGGCGGGGACGGAGGGCGGAGGGAGGGGCCGATAAGGCAGAAGGGCGGGGCCGAGGGGAGAGGGGAGGGGCCGAGGGAGACGGGAGGGGTGGGGCCGAAGGAGATGTGAGCGTGAGGCCCAGGGAGATGGGAGCGGCGGGGCCGAGCGGCGGGAAGGCGCGGAGAGGGGGAGCTAAGGAGTGGGAGAGGAGGGACGGAGGGAGACGGGAGGGACGGGACCCCGAGGGAGATGGGGCGGAGCGGAAAGAGATGAGGGGGCGGAGCCGAAAAGGTGAGCGGGGTGGGGTCAGGGAGATGGAGGGTCGGGGTCGAGGCGGGGGAGGAGCCAAGGTCAGACGGGAGGGGCGGGGCGGGGAGCACAAGGGGGCGGGGCCAAGGGCGAGGGGAGGGCGGAGGCCGGAGGGACGCGAAGCGCGCAGGGCACGCGCGGCACCTTAGAAAGCTCGTCTATGAGGTGCTGCTGCTCCAGAATTTGAATTCTCAGGAAGTCAACTTCTCGTTCGTCCTGACTTTGGTCCAGGTCGTTTAAGGAGCTGGGTCTCCTTATGATCCCGGCTCTCTGTCTCTGCAAAGCCAACCAGACGGCAGGGGTGGAGTGAGGCGTGGGCCGGGCGGCGGGGAACGAGCCTTTGCCCGCGGGCACGCGCAGCCCATCGGCTCGGGCCCCGGGGCGGCGGCTGCAGGGCGCTGGGGACGCGCGCGGGGCGAGTCTGCACCCCAGGCCGCGGCCGCGTGACCCGCCTGCCATCGCCCACCCTCCGCCTCTTCCCCGCCGAGCGCGCGGGAAGGAGGCATTTCTGCAGCCGGTGCTGAGGACACGCGGACCCGAACGTCGTGCTGAATAATTACTCTTTGGCTAAACTCTCGCTCGCGGCCTCTGGGGCCCTTGGGACAGAAGGGACGCAAGAAACACCAGCTAAGCATCCCACACCCCGTGGGGAGCAGGAGTGGAGCCTCCCCAGGGCGGCTCTGCTGGCTCCTTCCCCACCACGCAGGCGTTCTGGGGCTCCCCCCCGCCCCGTCTGTGCCTGGGGTCTTCATGCGCAGCCCCAGCTCCTGGTGTCACACCGGGCAGCAGGCCTGCGGCTGGGGCAGGACTTGTTCTGCCCTCGCTGCCCAGCTCTGCCCAGGCAGGCACCCAGGGCCTCTCCCCTGCAGTGCTCAGACACTCCTCTCCCAGCCTGTAGGCCTGGGCTGGTTCCTGGCCCCACAGAGTATGTGAGACCTAGGCCCGTGGGGATCTTGTTTCGGGCCTTGCGGGAGAGCAGGGTGGGGGCGTGCTGCTTGCTGCTGGGGAGCACAAGCAATCGTGCTGGCCTGACAGCCAGTCAGGGCCCCTTACCATCTCTATGTTCTCCTGCGTGACAAACTTTAACTTGTTTTCTATCCGACGCAAAGTATGGGACAGATCTTCATTCTTCCGAGTAAGGCGCTTGTTTTTATCCAGCAATGGCTTGTATTGACTCTCAGCTTCTCTTAAACGCTTTAACTGAAAGACAGTTAATCACACGACACGGTTTTAAGTGTGACATGGGACCAACAGTCCCTGAACCAAGTCAGCAAAGTGACAGAATCAGCTTTGGCCACAGCCAAGGGAAGCCGTCTGGGGCCAAGGCTCTATTTCGCCAGTAAGAGCTGCAGTAAACTCGCCCGGCCCGTGACCCTCAGGGCCTTGGAGAAGCGTAGACTCAGACACAATCACCTGGAAATTTCAATGCCCGTTAGGACTAATCGTGATGGCTCCTCCAGCGGGTGACGGCCCCATGCATCGCAGACAAAGCGCAGGACTGAGGGTACTTTTGCTCAGTAATAAGGAACAGGGATCAACCAACCAGTGTCTGAGTGTCTGAGGCCTGCCCCCCCCCACCTGGTTTTGTTCATAAAGTTTTATTGAAACAGCCAAGAGGCCTGTATTCAAGCCCTGCCTTTGGCACCCTCACTCCTCCTTTCCACAAGGAAGTTTGGAAGTGGGTGCTTCCTACCCCTCCCCACACACTGCAGCCATAGACCCACGGGATCCAGATCCCCCGGGACCCCTTGCTCCGCAGCCACTCACCAGCTCGTTCCTTTCTTCCGACAGCAAGGCATTCCGGTCCTCCAGTTTGCGAATGATGGCACTCAGCTCTGCAATTTTAAGTTGGAAGCGCCGAGCATCCTTTTCATCCAACTGCTGTTCCTAAAACAAAAATCAACTGCAAATAACTGTTCATAGACATGGAAGCGTCTGCAAACCCCAACGCACTATGGGGAACAAAGCGGTTCGGTGTCATGACCGCCTGTGATTCCAAATGGCAGGCGGGTGGGTGGGTGCGGACCCTCCCAGGGGGCAGGTGACTGCTGACTCCACCGCCACGGGCACCGCAAGCCACGCAATGGGGACAGAACACAAGAGCAGAAATGTCCAGGAGTATGCAGAGGTGGAGGGCAAGGGCGTGCGGGCACCACGGTGCGGGTGCTCTGGGCCATCCTCAGGCTGCTGGCCGCGGCTCAGGAGGGTCTGCCCTGTGCTGTGGGCACAGACGCAGTGTCCCTAGAATTATGATGTGAGCCCAAGAAAAGATGTTCGACTTAAGACTTGCAAAGGGCAGTTCCCGACAAGTGTGCTCCCTCACGCTGAGGTTCTAAAAGGTCACTTTTGAAACATCTGGAACCTCATTCAAAAATCAGTGAACACATTTTGATCCAGTTTCAGAATCTCTCTGGAGTTGACTGCGATCTATTGCGTACCAGAGCGGGGTTTGATTCAGTGAAGCCATTTATAATAAGATTATAAAAAATAGTTTTCTATTCTTGAAACATCGCCGTCCTCAGGCTGGCTCAGCTCAAACATTTTGTCCTCGGAGCAAACGAAGCATGTCCAGGAAGGACTGAGGAACGGGTCCTCATTCAGCAGGTGCAGGAGAGGCTAGGGGGCAGGCCCGGCAGGCCCCGCATTGAGGGTCCACGGAATTTAGACCCCCCCCACCCAGATTACCCAGAACCACTCCAGACGGCTCTGAATGAGGAGCAGTAATGAGGACTGAATGATGTCACGGCTCTGTGGCTGCCGGCCGCCCCCATGCTGCCACGGCAGGCCGAAGAGGAGCGGAAGGGTGGCGTGGTCACACAAAAAGCGGGTGAAGGGTGACTGGTGGGGATGTGGGCGAGTAAAGAGCCAGGAGCCCGCGCGCATGGAGATGGCAGCACTGCAGCCTTGTCCCGCCAGCCCGGGGCAGGGACCAGTACCCGCAAGCGAGGGCCCTGAGCCACCGGGGGCGGGGAGGGGGGCCCGGCAGCTGCAGGGGGGCTCCAGCGGGGAGCCTGAGGCCTTGGGGGGGTCCATGGGAGGGTGAGCAAGTGAAGGCCAGTGCTGTGCCACGTCAGCAAAGAAGGAGGGGACAGAAGTCTGCTTGCCCTCCCAGCCAAGCCAGAGGAGCCGAGGGGCCGGGGTCTGGCTAGTGGGCTGCAGATACGGTCAGCGTCCCCGGGGCAGGTGGTTTGGTTCCGGACTCTGGACCTAGGTATCAACTCCCCGGGGAGCTTCCCGAGCAGGGCCACATGGCTATGTGCAGCGGTGTCTGTCTGTGACTCTGGGTCACCAGGCAAAGAGTGGGGAGGTGCTTACAGGGCTTCCCGAGTGGTCTGAGGCGTCTCCTGCACCGCCTGCATAAGGAAGTTCCCGTCTGGGGCTGCCCAGGTGCCGATCAGCCTCTTTGACCTGGGACAGCTGCTCATCTAAAGCCTCTTTTTGCAGCTGCAGTCTCTGAGCATGCCCGGCTTGAACCCCTAACTCTCTCTCCAGCACGAAGACTGCTCTGTCTTTAAATCTTATCTCCTCCATCTACAAGGAGAACAGAACACAATCACACAGGCAGGCAGGGAACAGATCTGCAGTTTCCATAGAAACAGACAGAGCAATGCTGGGAACGGGCATCGGGAGGGTCCCCACGGCAGCAGCCCTGCCAGCGTCTCCGGGCTCTGAGACCAGAAGCAAAGCAGGGAGCCCTGGACGGAGAGCCCCACCGCCCAGGCCGCAGCGTGACTCCCCCGTCCGGGCTGGGCTCCGCTCTGCCACTTCAGTCCCAGCTCGTGCAACCGACACGCTCCTTCCCGGACCCTGTGCGGCCCTCCCAGCCTCCCTGCGCCGCGGGACCACCTCCCGGGGGCTGGCCTGCGGGGCTCCTGGGTGGCCACCGGGGGCTGGCACTGTCTGGCACGTCCACAGAGGCCCCTCCAGCTCCTGGCCTGAGTGTCGGGCACGGCAGTAGGGCTCCCTGAGTTCCCTGAGCCCTATCAACGGGGTGTGAGGAGCAAGGTCCGTCTTCAAACAGGCAGGCTGTGGACGTGCGAGGCAGAGCTTCTCACCGCCTCCGTCCTCCCCTCTCTGAGGTCACTCGGCCCAGAGGGACTGGGGCCCACACTCCCGTCCTCCCGCCTCCAGCCTCTCCTTGCTCGGAGGCACGGGCAGGAGCAGAGGTGCTGCCCCACTGTCTGCGGGCAAAGCTGCATTTGTGACCAGTCTTGCTTTGAACCGAGGCTTGGAGAAGGGGAGTCTCCGGGCAAGGAGGCTCCAGCCTGGAGGACAGGGGCACCCGATCCGGCCAGGCCTCCGCGTGCCCGCGGGCTGATGGCTGGCGGGGGCCCACAGCGCTCCCCACTGCCTGAGAGCGCCCAGCCCCCCACAGCTGTAAGAAACCCCTCTGCACACAGCCGTCGCCTGCCCGCGGGCCCCTCGTCCGGGCTGCCAGGGCGGGAAGCAGGACAGACCCCGCTGCTCCCCATGCTTCAGACTCAGTTTAAAACATATTTTCAAATAACAGGAGAGGACCCCTCGATGCTTCACTGGCTGTTTAAGGCTAAATAAGCTAATAAATCCACCATCTGCTGAAGTCAGCTTAGGAACAAAGAGATGAGACGTCTAATTAGCCCGGATCACAGAATTCACAAGCAAGCGATGAACTAAACGGAATAAAAAAAATCCTTAATTGCTAACTTCCCATTCACTCAGGCACACAGAAATGTGGAAAGAGGCAACACACTCAATTAGTGAAAACAGAGAGGCCAGGAAAATAAAATCATATTAATAGGCAGCTGTATTCTGTTCTGACATTTACACTCATACACGGATACTTTACAAACCGGTTTTCTTTCATAGGAAACAAGAACCTAAGAGACTCTACACAAAGATCCCACTTAAATGAGGTATTTAAGCCGACGGTTTGGGCCCAAATGCAGGCCTCCCTAAGTCACCCAGACGTGTCGCATACTGTCACCAAGTGAGGGGTCCCCCACAAAGGGAATTGGAGGAACTGCACGTTCACAGAAGGGCAGGATTTGACTTTTAAAAGGTGAGAAGTCGCTGTACAGTCAGTGACTTTGCGTCTGTGACTGTGTCCGTGGACCATGGGGCCCCACGTGCTCCGCACTCAGTCTCCGTTTGCAGGTTGTTCCGAGGCCACCTTCCCACCCAGAAGGCCCATCGGTGCAGGGAGCGTGCAGGTGCTTGACGCAGATGCAGGCTGAGATGGAGAAAGAGCTTTGTGGAGTCATGGGGGGTCGTGTGGGGCCCGCACCTCATTCCCAGGGAGCTGCTTCCCCCTCGGGCACATATTCAAATACAACACCAGCCGGGCCAGGAAATGGGGGACTGCACCCCTCCTCCCCTAAGGCACCCCCCTCACCCTCCACACCCACAGGAGCTCCCTCACCCCCCACACCCCTTACTCCGTACATTCCCAGAAGCATCTCCATCTCCCCACACCCCTCCCCTAGCACCCCCACACCTCCAAACCCCCTCATGCTCACCCCCACCTCCCAACACCTCTCCCCTAAGGCCTCCACACCCCCACAACCCCGTCTCCCCACCCCCTCCCTCTATAGTGCTCCCACCCCCTCCCCCTCCCCCCCAGGAGCTCCCCATGCCCACCCCTGCAGCCCCTCTCTCAGAGTTACAAAAGGCATACGGAAACCAAGCCCTTGGGAGGGTGGGTCCCAGGGGAAGGGGTGTGTGGAGGATGCTGAGGCCAGAAGGGCGCTTGTGGAGGGCGGAGGGAGACCCGCGCAGCCTGACATGTCCCCCGCGGCACAGGGCAGGCTCGGCGGGATGCACAGAACCACAACTGCCGAGTAGAGCCTGCGCATCCCAGTGACGGCGGAGCCACCGCCCCGCGGTGCTGAGGCCCCCGCCCCAGCGCCACCCCCTCGTGGCCCCTCACAGCCGTGGCAGCTCCCGCCCGGGAACCAGAGCAGGGGCCCTGGGGGTGGCCTCTGTCAGGACCCTCCCTCGCCTTGCCTGCTCCAGTGAGGACCCCTCCCCGCAGGGCCGCGGCGCCCGCAAACACTTGGCAGCATCTGGCTGCGGGCGGCTAGAATTCCCCACCACTCACCGTGCCCGGGACCACAGCCGGGGACGTGGCACAGTGCTACTTCTGTGTCTGCAAACGTCCCCTGTGAAAGCTCCGCCAGAGTCAGGGCCTCGCGCACACTGCCGCCACTCACGGGCAGCCTGTGTCCCGGTGGGTCCCGAAGCGAGCAGGCCCCTTCCCGCCAGTAAGCGGCACTCCGGGAGAGCGCGGTCTCCTTCCCGGCGATCTTCTCCGGGCACTGATCGCTGCTCTAGACGGTGGGGAGGGGACAATCCTCTACCTCACAGATCGTTCTGAGAAAGCCAGAATCAGTTTCTGCCTCTACTTCTCTGGCTTTATGGAACTTCTAGTCACAGACTGAGCTTGTGAATGACTTACACGTGCCGTAGCCGGTGCCAGACAGACATTAGTGCCAGGGCCAGTGGTCACAGGGCGGGAACGTCCACGAAGCTGCCCCGCGGGCCCAGCGTCTCAGCCCTCCCGGCCCAGCTCAGCCCTGAACAAACTAAAGCTTCCCCCTCTGACTCTGCCGTGGGGGCAAATGTGACCAGGACCCGGCCCCCCCACGACCTGGGTTCTGCAAGGACCCTGCGGGGTGCCCACGGCTGAGGACTTGTTTCCAGCACCTTCTGAGGCTCCAGGCTCCTCTTCCATAAGATCAAGGGGCCTCTTGCAGGCCTGGGAGAACTGGAGAAGGCAGTTCTCCACCCAGTAATCTCCTGAAACTGCCCCCCTGCCTGGGCAATCTGATGTGTGCACAGGGAGCCGCACCCCTGGTCCCTCAGGTGATGGGAGCGAGGTGAGGGCGTGGCCAAGTCCCCACATCACGGTGTCTCCTGCCCCCCATCAGCCTCGCAGCCCCTGGTGCCCCAGCCCTGCCCTGGCTCTGTCTGCCGTGTGCTTGGGGGCCACACTGTCCGTGTGGCTCCCCTCCAGGGGGCTTCTTCTTGACACCTCTGTGACTCCCCCCCCCCCGGGTGCCACACCTCCAGCCGGGACTTAGGGTCCTCAGGTCCAGACAGTGACTTAACTGTCACAAATTCTCCCGGGCGGCACAGCCTGGCCGCTCTGCTCCCAGCCAAGCTGCAGCCCCGCCGGCGGGGCCCCACCACACCAGGGTGGGCCCAGGCGAGATGGCCACGGACGGCCACAGCCTCCCGTCGGCACCAGAGCCACACTCCAGGGGACGTGAGGGCTGGAGGTGGGGCAGGGGGGCGGTGGTCAGGCCCGGGTCCAGCAAGTGTGAGCAGGTAGCTGCGGGGACCCTCTGGCTTTGGGACACGTGGGGGGTTGTCCTGGTCTTTGCAAAGTGACCACCAATACCTGTTGAAATCCACTCCCTCCCAGCCCCTTCCCTCCCTCAGCCGGCCTGCCAGTGAGACCTCCCCCAGGGCACAGTGGGGATCAGGCCCCGGGGTCTGCCGCCAGCAGAGCCCTCAGCGGAGCCCCCTTTGCTCAGGGCGTCGGCCACGTGCGGAACACCATGGCCACAGACGCGGAGCACGGGACTCCCCGCACGTCCTGGGCAGGCTGCCCGCGGCCCCGGCGCCCCGGCCCGGGCCCGGCCCTCACTCAGCTGCCAGCCTGTCCGTCCACAGACCTGTGCACGGTTCCTGGCGGCCCTCACACACCCAGGTCGGGGCTCTAGCCCCGGGGCCACACACCTGCAAGTGGGGTCTCCCACGGGCCAGCGCGGCCTTGGGCACTGGTTGCCCCCGGACCTTCTGAGGCCTCTGCACCTCATCCCAGGCCCTGAGAAGCGGCGGCCGCACCCCGGACGGGCCGGGCCGGAGCTGGAGCAACAGCAAAGTCTGCCTGACGTTTGTAAGAAGCAGGGTTGTCAAGGGTCCTCCGTGGGACAGCACCGGCCCCCACGGCGCACGCCCCGACAGGTCCAGCCACCATCCCCTGGGCCGACATTGCGAGCCTCTCTGCACCCAGAGCTGTGCTGCCCTGGGACCTGGGTCACGTCCTTCCTCCTTGCCAGGGCCGGAGGCAGCCGTCCTGTCCCCGGACCAAGGTATCTGGCCAGCGCCCTGACACCCCACTGGCCACGCGGTGTCTCCGGGCTGGGCTCCGCCTCTAGACAGCACCCAGCCGGCCCGTCCCCTGAGCCAGGACCTGGTCTGCTGGGGGGGAGGGGCCTCAGGCCACCCCTCCCCACTCCGCCTCTGCTCACCCTCCTCCCAGCCCCACTGTGGGCGTCTTCTCCAAAAATGTCCCCTGGCCCAACCCCGTTCCCAAGCAAGGCTGCCCCCTCCCAGGCTGGACACCACACTCGGCCACACCCCCGCGCCAACCACACTACCACACACTCGTGTTGTGCTTTGGGCCTGGGGGGGGACGGTCATTGGGCCGTTCGATGACTGTGTGCGCAGACGCTCACCCGGAGAGACGGTGAGCAGAGCTGCCGCCCACAGACGCACGAACGGCTCCGTGCCCAGCGTCACAGTGAGCTCTGGCGGGCAGGGACACAGATCTCTTCAGATCAAGCCCTCGTTTGAGTCGGTGGCAACATTTTATTTGTTTCCTCACGAATAACTGAGTACGTAGGATTTTGCATGTGCTCATGGTATATATATCGTATGAGAATCGCAGACACACCCTCTGTCAAAATGCACCCTTTAACACTTTGGGCGTAATCCCAACAAAAATCCCAACAGTTTTTTTTTTTAATCTAGGAAAACTGATTTTGAGGTTTATATGGGAGTTTGAAGGGCCAAGAAGAGTCGAGTCAGTCTTGCAGAAGGACAAGGAGAGGGGACCTGCCCTCCGGACATCACGACGGCTACAAAGCTGGGTTAGCTCTTGCATGATGGGCTGGAGGGGACAGAGGGGAGAGGTCAGACGGCCCCCTGCCCCGGGGGACACGTGCAACCTGTCAGAAGTGACTCTCACAACACGCATGTGCACACACGTACATACATGTGTGCACACACGCACGTGCACTTATGTACACACATGTGAGCACATGCGCGTGCAGACTCAGAGGCACATGTGTACATATGTTTACGTATGCGTGTGTGTACACATGTGTGAAAATTCACAGAGGCATGTACACATATATACACACAACACACATGTGCATGCACACAGACTCACAGAAGCTCAAGAACACATGTACACACGTACCTGCACACATGTGCGCACAGACTCACAGCAGCACATGCATACATGTACCTATACCCACACGTGCACACACATGAACTTGGGGCAAGGTCTTTTGCACAAAAGGCAAACCATAAGGTTCTAAAAAGATACAGCTTCACAGCCTCAGAATAAAAGGCTTCTCAAACAGGCACTGGCCCCAGAGGAAAGGACGGACAATCAGAAACCTGAAAGCTTTCGATCAGGAGATGCCCCCCTCGGCGCACAGGGGAGCGCCCACCGCGTGGGGACGGCACAGGCGTCTTAAAAGGTTTCAGGTAGGCTTGTCTTTCCCTGCGGGAAAGCAGCCGGGGCTCCGACGGGCGTCGGGTGTGATCTTTACGTTAATTCGGGGAGAACTGGATCTGAGCAATACGGAGTTTTCCAGCCCCTGGGCAGGGAGGTCTGTGCATCTCCTTCTCCCTTCGCTCCCTTCGGCTGCGTTCTGTGGTTTTCGGGTACAGGTCTCTCACATCTTTTGTTAAATTATTCCTGAGTATTTTATTCTCTTTATGCCCTTGTGAGGGGACATTTTTCAAATTTCATTCTGGACTGTTTGTCTGTCGAGCATAAAAATACAACTGATCTTTGCAGGTTGATCTCGATCCTGAAAACCTGCTGAGCTGTTTCAATGGTTCTAGCGGTTTTACGGTGAATTCCCTGGGGTTTTCTGTGGTCGCGCCACCTGCAGGAAGACACTAATTCTTCCCTTCCAGCCCCAGGTCTTTAGTTTCAGTCCTTTGCCTTATTGCCGGACTCCACTTCCTCAGCAGGGGGAAAAAACAAAAGGTCACAGGAAGCGCCCGTCACAACGCACTCTCCTCCAGGGCTTACAGTGAGCCCCAGCGGCCCCTCGCGCAGCACTCAAGGACGCCCCCCAGCGGGCCCCTCGCGCTCAAGGACGCCCCCCAGCGGGGGGCACGGCAGCAGCTCCTTGTGAAGGAGCACAGGACACTGTCAGAGCCGATTTGCATCACTAGCCTCAGAGAAATGAGGGCCGTTCAGTCCCTGAGGATGCAGGAAGGCCAAGGAGAAGATGCGCGCTGGAGAATTCAGTGATAAAAGCCTGAGCGGAAAACTAGGGCACGGAGTTGAGGACATCTCCCAGAAGTCAGAGCCAGTGCCGGGCTGGAGTGGAAAACACGAAACCTGGAGCGGCAGCTCAGAGGCCCAGCGCCACACGCACGGCACGTGTGGAAGGAAGATGGGGGCGAAGGAAACACTCGCGCAAGGTTTACTAAGCTGGTGACGGAGTTTCCAGTTAGAAAAGCCTCCTGACCACATGGTGTGTTGAGTGAACAAACACTCACACCAGGTGATCATCACTAAGTGTTAGTGGTGCTCTGGGCTCAGGACCCAGGGTGCAGGGCGAACCCCACAGGGCCCAGGGCTCAGGGTCCAGGGCTCAGGACAAACCCCACAGCCTCAGGGGGTCAGCAGGGAAGGAAACGGGGCCATGGGAAAGATCAGGAACCAGAATGTTTCCAGCTTCTCACACCAACGCCAGGAGTTAAAAGACAATGCAGAAATACCCTCAAATTCCCGATAGAAGGTTTTTCCAACCTGTAATTCCCTTCCCAGTTAGAGCATCGAGTGTGAGGGTAGAATAAAACGTTCATACACAGAGGAACAACGTTGATCTCCACACTCTCTGTTTCCAGGAAGCTACTGGAGAATGTGTTCCTCGGAAACAAGAAATTACATATCAAAAAAGAGGAAGGGGCCTTCTGGGTGGCTCAGTCAGTTAAGCATCCGACTTCAGCTCAGGCCATGATCTCACGATTCATGGGTTCGAGCCCCACATCGGGCTCTGTGCTGACAGTTCAGAGCCTGGAGCTGCTTCGGATTCTGTGTCTCCCTCTCTCTGACCCTCCCCTGCTCATGCTCTGTCTCTGTCTCTCTCACACACACACGAATAAATAAATACACATTAAAATAAAATACTTCAGAAAAAAAGAGGAAGATGTGGGAGGGAAGTAGCCCAAGAGAGAGGAGGGGCTCCCCAGACAGCGACGGAGGAGGGTCGGGCCGGCAGCGGGTGCAGATGGCAGACAGAGGGCTCCAGCACAGGCATCTCAGAAACCAGGCAAATGGATGGAACGGACGTTGTTCAGCGCTTTGCTGGGAATCCAGGGGAGAATCAGGAATAGCACTGAGGCAGTTAATTCCCGGGAAACAAAAGCAGGTACACAAAGGCAGAGCCGGGGGCCACTGTGGGTCGTTTGTGAGTAACGCTCACACAGCAACAGTCATGCAAACAGTGATTCACTTAGGCCGAGACGAAGTTCCGAACGTCCCTCTCTTGCCCCCTAATTACCCCCCGGGAAGCTGGCCCGTGCTCCCCCATCCTGGCTGCTCAGGTGGCTGTGGCCCAGCCCTCGGGGGCCACCCTGCTGTCCCCTGGTTGCCACCCGCCCCTTCCCCAGGGCCCCAGTGAGCCCCTGCTGTGGCCCCACCCCTGTCCCCCCACACCCCTCGCGTGGTGACTGGCCCCTAACAGGAGCCGGCCGGGACAGTCTCGGGGAGGCAGGAGCGCAACCAAACCTGAGGTTTGAAGAAGTACACGTTTAAGCCTGTTTCTGAGAATTTGGCACAGAACCCGGAAGAGTCAGCTTCAGCGCTGCCGGGAGCCCGGGCTGGGGGTGGGACCCACCGGGCCTGCTGGGTTTGCTGCAGGCCCTAAGCTAAGGAGGCGGGGCCACAGGCCTGTGCACAGTGAATCCGATGGACATGAACAAGGGTCCACCTGGGATCGGGCAGCGGGCACTGAGCGCCCTGTCCCCTGCCTCCTCCAGCAGCCTGGCCACTGGCTTCCTTCCTTTCCGGGGCCGAAGAGGGGCCGCAGGGCCCTCCTGTCGCGTGAGGACCCCCCGCTGCTCAGAGGTGGCATTCTGGCCAGGTCCTCCGTGGCGCACGGAGGTGCTGACACATGGCTTAGAGCTGTCGGGGGGGCCCCGGAACAGGGGACGCTCCGGGAGAGGAGGGCCCCACGCGCACATCGTGGCAGCGCCGCGTGTGGTTCACGAGTCTGTGCTCACGCAGGGCCGCGGGGCCGGACGAGGGAAGCGGTACGGCGGGGCAGTGTCTGGAAACCAGAGCCCCCGAGGTAGGGAGAGGTGCCCCGGGTGCACGGCCATGTGAGTTGGAAAGATTGCTGATCCCGTGAAGGGGACCCCGGGGTCCTCCGTGTGCCGAGCTGCAAAGCCACTTGGGTCCTGACGAGGCCCCTGACAGGCCACGCGGGCTCGAAGCTAGAGCGGCGTTTCCTCAAAACCACGGAGGAGGCCCAGCTCCCGGGTGAGGGGGTCAGGCACAGCCCCTCACCAACCCTGACCATTCTCTTCAGCTTCTTAGCTCTGGGTGTCTGTACGGTGCCGGCCGCGGACAGCTGGTCCCTGAGCCATTCGGACGCCCCAGAGGAAGCTGCCAGCACCTGGCCATTCCCGACCCGACAAGACGGCAGCTCCCTACGGTCCAGACAGAGAGGATGCCTTCCCAGGCCGTGCATCAGGCATCGATGCCAGGATGGCCTTGGAGGTCCAGGACCTGCCCCCGGGGGCTTCTGGGCTCCCCCCCTGGGTCCAGTCAGCTCCCATGCCCCACATCCCCCCACGCCCAGCATCCCCCGCCCGCAGCCCCCCTCCCTGCGCCCCACGCCCCACCAGCAGCTACCCACCCTGTACACACACCCCACGCCCCACCAGCAGCCCGCCGCCCTGCACCCCCCGCCCCACCAGCAGCCCCCCACCAGCAGCCCGCCGCCCCGCGCCCCTGCAGCACGTACCAGCCGGCGGATCTCCCGCTCACACTCCTTCTTGATCCGGGAGATCTCCTCCTGGTGCAGGTGGTACACGCTCCTGATCTCCGCGGCCTTGATCTTGTCAGCCTGGATCACGATGGTCAGCGCCTCCTCCACCTGCTTCTTGGCCCCCTTGAGCTCAGAGATCTCCTGCTGCATTTTTATCTTCTCCACCTCAAATCCCTTCTTGGCCTCCTCCTTGGCCTCCGACAGCAGCACGGTCTTGACCTTGTCGGGGGCGCCGTCGCGCAGGGCGTGCAGCAGCGCCTGCAGCCGCTGGTTCTCGTTGTCCTTGATCTTGATGACCCGGAGTAGCTCGGCCTCGTGCTGCCGCAGCAGCGTCTCCCGCACGGCCTGCAGCTCCTTCATCTTCTCCTCGTGCAGCTTCGTCTTGAGCTCGGTGAGCAGGACGGCGTTCTTGTGCTGCTCGTGCTCCCGCGCCTGCCGCAGCTCCTGGGTCTTCTCCCTCTCCACCCTGCTCACCTGCAACACAAGACCGCGTCGGCGGTGAGGCCGCCCCTGCCTCTGGGGACACCGACGCTCGGGCGTGGGGACGCTCTGGGTCCTCATCTGCAAGCTTGGGAGCTGCCTGCCCTTCCGGAATGTCTCCTTAAAGTGTGGCCTGGACACTGAGTCAAGCCTCCCTGCAGGGCGGCGTGACCGCACCCGTGGGCGTCTGCAGGGGGCGGGAGGCTGGGAACACTCCCAGCGGAGGGTGAGACCACACACACTGGGTGCACGCAGGTCTGCTGTGTCCTCTCCCCCGGGGCCAGGCCCAGCCGTGCGGGGCCCCAGCGGCCGCCTCTCCGGTGAGCCACGGAAGAGGGCACGGGAGACCCTTGGGCACGACCCTCCAGCCCAATGACAAGGGCGTCACACTCACCTTCTGTGACGTTCTTGGCCAACGGGGAGGCCGATCTAGGCCACCACTCTGTCTAGACGATGTGTAATGTCTAGATTTTTGGAAATGCTCGAATTTTTTACTGAATCTTTTGTTTTTATCTAAAACTTCACCTTTGGCTCAATGGCCACGCCCCCCAAATGTGGTACATGTGGTACCCAGGACCTAACATGGGAGGAAAGAGAGGCTGACCTGCCCTGGGTCCAGCGCTTCACCTCCCACCCCACCTCCACTCTGCGCCCCATCCACGTGGGGCCACCGTCCTTGGCCATCTCCTCAAGCCGTCCAACCCCAAACCCCAGCCCCAGAGCCGGCCCCACTCCCCACTCCAGGCAGCCATGTCTCCAGCCCACCTCCTGCTGCCCACTCTCCATGGCAGGGAGAGTCTGCAGGGGTGAAGCCCTGCCCAGCCCTCTTCCCGGCTTCTGGTGCATCCAGGGTAGAGGCGGAGTCAGGGATGCCGTTACGAGCGGACAGCACCGGCCACGCCATCCGGGGGGAGTTTCAGCTCCCATCAGGGCCGCTGGCACCCCAGCAACTGTGGGCTCTCCCCCCAGGGCTACAGCTCGGACCCCTCAACCCTGCCCGAGTGCCTGCAGACCGTGGCCCACAGTTCCCAGCCCTGTCTCCGCACGCTGATCCCGCCATTCGTGCCCTTGCATGAAAACCACCTTATTCACCCCTGTCTCTGGGACTGTAGGGTCCCTTGGGCAGGACACGTGTCCTGGACGCTCGGACCCCACAGAGCCAGGAGAAACTCCAGCCCCAGAGCCCCGTCTGAGCCGTCCAGGCCCCTGATGACTGCGCAGAGGCACAGGGGGCCGAGTGAGCACCCGGCCAGCCATCTGGGTTTCCTCCAAAGAGTGGGGTGGGTGCTGAGGCTTAGCGCACACAGTATTTACTCCTTTTCCATTCAGTGTGAACTGCCCGTTTTTCCAGTTTAAATAGAATTGAAGATACGGGAAAGCAAGACTTTTGATGGTGGTTCTCAGTCGTGGGGGGCTGGGTGGTGCGATTAGGAATCCGTACTCTCGAGGGAGCTCACTCCAGGGCCAGGTCAACATACGCAGGAGGCCACTACGGCCCACGCGGTGCAGTGTGGACGCCGAGGGTCGGAGGTGGAGTCAGAATGGCCTCTGGATGAGAACCAGCAGAGAAAAAAGCAAGAATCTGCAGACATCAGAGCAGGTGCTGGGGGGATCAGGGGGCAGGAGGGAGGGGGGAGGAGAGGACCAGAAACATCCGGGCTTAGTCTGACCGTGTGGAAGCCGTCTGGGGGAAAACGGGCCCTCCCGCCCCGTGCCCGTGGTGCCGCAGGAAAGGTCTGCCCTCACCCGAAGGGCCTGGTGACAACCACACGGGCTCCGGTGCGCCTGGGCGGTTTGGAGCTCACAGGGAGCTACCCGTGCCGGGGTCCCTGCAGCGCCTGGGTCCTTGCCACGGCCGCTGCGGGACTGGGCGCTGAGGAAAGAGGAAGAAGCAAAACACAGCGCTCCCGGCAGACGGGTCTGGGCACCGGGAACAGCGTGCAGCCTCGCTCACCCGCAGTTCCGAGCATCACGCGCTGAGCGTCAAGTCCAGCGCCTCTGGGCCTTGGGCCCCGCGAGGCCCCATAAGCGCGTGGGGCTCCCCTCGCTGCCGTCCGCCCCCATTTGCCCCTGGCAGTGGGCTTTCCTCTGAAGCTCCCTCCACGCGCAGCCTGGGAACTCCGCCCCATTTCGTTTCTGGGCTGAGCCGTGAGTGTCCCCTGCTGGACACACGGATGGCAGGGAAGTGCACGTGGTCCCGAGCACGCGGGTGGTGGAGAGGCGGCCGGCGGACAGCCTCACTCCGGGGCTCAGCGTGACCCGGGTCTGTTCTAGGAACACACAGCGCTTTATAATACATCATTAAGAAAATTATTCCCAGTGAAGCATGTGGAGACGTTTCCCTGAGATCCACAGCTGTCTCCCCCACGGGCCACGGCCTCCCGGGACCTCATTAAAGTCTGGCTGACGTGGCCATGCACTGGCGCGGTTCAGAGGCAGGGCCGGCACTGGGGCTCCGGACCAGTGGGGGGCTGCAGCTTTCACCTCTCAGAGGCCCAGGGCTGAGTGGTTTCTGCATCCGGGGCAGATGCTCCCCCGACGCTGCGGGACGCCCACTCCATCCATTCCCAAGGGACCACGTCAGCCTCAGAAGGGACCCGATCACTTGTTCCATTAGGAACATATGGATTTAAACACAGTTCATGGACTTCAACCCACTGCAGGCCTCACCCTTACTGGAGCTCCGAGCGCCCCACGTGTGGCCAGTGAGAGGCGGCCCGAGCCCTCAGGACGCGCTCTCCGCCAGGCTGGGCGTTCTGGGCCGCTTCCTCTCCTGCCCATGACCTTCCTCCAGTCGCCCTGATTTCCTGCCATGGGAAATGGCCTTTCCGTGACAGCCAGGGCCCCAGGTGGCTGCCGGCTCCAGGGCTGGTCTCGGTGGACAGTGACACGGCATCTACCGCCCCATACACGCGATGACATGCCCTGAAGTTCCCACCGACACTTCCTGTTTCCCACACGCTTTCCAATTCAAACGCGGGGCTTCTCTCCCAGTTCTTTGCAGCCTCTGTGCCTCGGTTCCCTCGCGCTGAATCTGGTTGCCGAGAAAACCGGGGGTGGCGGGAGGAGCACATCCCATAATCACCCCTTCACTTTGTCCACGGGAGGCACGCAATCGTGTGGGACACAGTGGCTGCGATGTCCATGCTCTGCCCACCAGCTGGGCGAGAACGTGTGTTTCCCCCTGTGTCCTGCTCCCACAGCTCTGCTGTGTCTGTGTGGTCGGCTCCTGTGGCCGTGTGGGTCCCGCCCTGATCCTTGAGCTCTGGGTCTTTTCCTTGAGGAATGCCAGGGCGTCTCATTTTCCCACTGCTCCTCGGCGACAAGGCCCACCAGCCACGGAGCACACGTGGTACGGGCTCCTGAGGCCTCGCCATCCTCGAGTTTAACTCAGAAAGAAACTCTGTGTTCAGTGCTGCCCGAAGTCCTCCAGGAATCCTTGGGGCTGGGATGGGGGTGGATACTGGCGAGCCCCCCCTCCCCTCCCCCCGTCCCACATGGGCGGAGCCAGCCTTTCCCAGGGTGGGGGTGCCTGCACAGGAGGACCCCGCCCAGCCGGCCATCTCCGTGGCTGGGACCCGCCCTGGAGACAGAGGGCACACAATGTTGCCTCTCTCGCTGGTGGGCACTACCGTCTCCCCTCCTTGGTAATGACCTCAGCCCCATGGGGGATGGCCCACGTGTGGCCTGCGGCCCGTGGCCAGCGTGGGCGCAGAAGAGAGCAGGTGCCCACAGGGCGGACGTCCCCGAGAAGGTCGGTCTGCGGGATCGGCAGACAGACGGGGGCGGCCGGGCGCCAGGACGGGTCTGCCGGCAGTACCCTCCCCGGCCCGCGGAGGCGCGCCTGGGTCTCAGCTGCCGCTACAGAGAGGAGGCAGGTGGCCCCAGGTGTGTGTCCGGAGTGGCGCTCGTGTTACTGGTTTAAACCGCAGAGAAAAGGCTCGTCTCCAATACGCAGCCGCGAGGCCTCAGCCGGAAGGTGGGGTCCTGCGCTCAGGCCACCGTGCTGGGGGGGCCCCGGGGCACCGGCCACACACACATCTCATGACAGCGGCTTGGGGATCCTGCTCCACACCTACTTACAGGTGGAAGCTGCCACAATCCTTGATGATGCCACGAATGTTCGTGGCTCTCAAATACTGCTTAATGAATCTGCTCCGAGGGTGACAGAATTTTAAGTTAAATGGATAAACGGTCCCACGGGACGCTGCCTCATTGCCTGTGGGCAGCATAGAAAGGACCTTCTTCTCCTCAGTCTTCTTCCAGGACGGAGTCTGCGGTACCCTCGGAGATGGGTCCGGAGGGCCCAGGGGAGCAGGGCGCGCCCGCCCGGCCTCTCACCCCGCCAGGTGCTCACACGTGCCACGGCTGCAGAGCCCACTTCCTGGCTGGTGCACAGTCAGCCTTGCTTGGAATGACTGAATGCACAGCCCTTGTGTTCCACGTGGGTTGCTGTGGCCTTTTCCCGTGTTAGGCCAATTTCTGGAACATTCTGTCTGAGTCTTTGTTCTTTCAAGTTGTTAGCTTTATGAAGAAGGCACTTTTTCTTTGGCTCATTATTTTGTTTCTGCTACATTTTTGTCTCCAAAGTCCCACGTGGCTCTATTTCCAGTGAGATTTACGTCCAAGTCTTGCCTGACAGGAAAAGTCTGCAGCTTCCCCGCAGCCCCTCGCGCGCCGGGGCGGGGACTTGGTCCCCAGGCCTCCATCTCCCACAGGAGGTCTGGAAACAACTGGGATTTGGGGATGTGGCGGTAAGTCCCTGTCATCGACTCCCACGCCTCCCGGGGACGCAGCCCTGGCCATGGGCTGCCTCTGCTCCAGCCTCCTGTCCCCGCCCCGTGTCCTTCGCTGCCTGGCCTCCTGGTAGGTCACCTCCTCATCACAAACGGGCAGGTCACGTGGTATATTTCTAGACCCCCCCCCACCTCACTGGGTTTGGAAAGACTGCAACCCTCACTCTTTTAGTAAGAAATACACGGACCTTGTGACCAGGACACTGCACACACCGAGTCAGAGTCTAAGTTCATCGTCCCCTAGTAGGTCCTGGTCGGCTTGAGGACCCCCTCTGCTCTCCCACGTGTCCTGGTCCAGACAATATGGCCACCCACGCGGCCCACCGCGGCCTGAACTCCGGGCCACCTTTCCTGCCGCTGCATCAGGTGAACTCTGCCCAGAGTGAGCCACCCTCAGACCCATCTTTGCTGGCTCCTGCTGGTCATTCTGGTCTCCGTCCAACATCACCTCTTCTGAGAGGCCCTCCCTGATTGCCAGGTGGGGGGACTGCACCCCAGGTGACCGCCTATCTGGCTTCCTCTTGCCCAGCTGCCTTCCTGTTTCTCGTGTCCCCCTCACTGGGACATGGTGTGGGGGGCACACGGGCACCCAGTGTTTCCTGAGTGGCAGTCTGTGGCCTGGAGAAGGGGAAGCCCCTTCCCGGTTAGAGCGGAAGCCACTCCCTAACAGCAGGGGTAAGGCTTGGGTGTCCGCTCCCCCTGCCCCGCCCCAGGGGTGCTCATGAGCTGGGCGCACGGCCGGCGGGCGGGACCCCGTGAGTGCAGGCAGCAGGGGCTGCTGTGCCCCGACTGGAGCCGGAGACTCGGGGCCGAGGTGGAAACGCGGGGCCTTAGTCGTCTGCGTGTCTCTGCTCTTCGTCCACACCCCTGCTCCCAGCACCCGGCTCTGCTGCAGGAACGCGGAGTCACTTCCATGCGGTCCACGCGGCTCCCGTGAGGCCTTCCCGTTGAACCCCTCTCCCGGCGGAGCTGGCTCCCTCCTTCCAGAAGGTTCTTCACCAGAGATGGCCCCGATTCAGTTTCCTGACAGAGGGAGGGCAGGAGGTGTCCTGCTTCTATTTAAATCATTTTATTCTTTACTGTCAAGCCTCCACTCACACAAGCACCCTTCGCGATACATCCCTGGCCTGAGATCTGGCTACGCTTACTGGCTTCTTTCCACGCTTCCCAGGGACCTTCTCCACCCCGACAGCTGCAATCTGCAAAACGGGATGTTTCTCCTCCAGAATTTTGCGGTGCTGGGAGCTCCTGCTGAGGGGTGGGTGCTGGGCGCATGGGGTGCGAGCGCCGTGGCCTCTGCAAGACTCCTGCCCCCCAGGCAGGCTTGCAGGCGAGGACAGGGTCCCGCGGCCGTCCCTGGACTCCGCTGTGAGTCCAGAATCAGGCCTCCTCCCTGGGGGCTTCCAGAACATCCGGAACATGCTAAAAACCGGACAGAAGACTCCAGTCCCGCGGTCTGGGGCTGGTTACGCAAATCTGTCCCACGGGTGCACCGCGACATTATCTGTGGCACATGTAAAGGTTTCAGGGTTGACGAAGATGAGGCTGATGACAATTGTGATCAATGAATTGTGTTTTCCATCCCCCACTTCACCACGACCGAGGTGCGTGGTTCGTGGCCAACATCTGAGGTGTTTTGCAGTGAGGTTTCTCTCGATGGGCTGAGCGGGCAGACCGTGTGCTTCCTGTAGCCTTAACGCTTGAGGCCGCCGAAGCCTTGGAGGGGGCGGGTGTAGGCACCGGTGGGACCCTGGAAACATGCACACGCCCGGACCCGGCAATTCACCTGCAAGAGCCTATTCTGCACGTGCCCTCACGCGTGGTCTCGGACGTGCACACAGGGCGCTCCGGGCACGCCGCGCTGTCAGCTGGAACTCCGAAACAGCCAGGATGCCATGGGCAGCCCAAACGCCGGGCGCATCGGCACGCAAAGCAGTGCTGGACCCGCTCCAGAGCTGCACGTGGAACCGCCATGAGCCCGTGTGCAGCGAAGAGAGAGGAGCCCAGGGACCCGGCGTGCAGCCTGCTGTCGTCTCTGCGTTAGAAAGAGGCCCTGGAGGTGCAGCAAGGAGCCAGTGACACGAACCCTCCAGAGCGCACTGGGGCCTTCCGTTCCTTCTGAATTTTGTACCAAGAGGCATATCGTCTTTCCAAAACATAAATAGCAACAGGGCCCCCGCCCCAGGGCCCTTGCCGGGCAGCAAGAGGGCAGGCCCCCCCACCCCCACCCCGCGGGCCTGGGGCGCTGACAGTGAAGAGCCTGCCCCTCCTCCTCCCCCGGGCTGTGGGGGATGGGCGGGTTTTGGTGAAACCTCCCGGTAAAACCTCCTGCAGACGAGGCAGGAGCCACAGGCTCAGGGATTTCCGCGTGGTGCTTCTGCGCATCCGACGGGGAGCATTTCACCCAGTGAGACGAGGGCCTTGCCTTCCGCGTCCCATCGGACAAGCCGCGCACGGTGTGTGAGGCTGGGTTCCTGGGCCTCCGATGCCTGCACGCCTGTGGGTGCCGCCCCTGCTGACTTGGCGACCGCCTGACCCCGAGCAAGTGCTGATGTCCGCTGGGTTCCCCTCTGGGCTCTGACTCTCCTGCCCAGAGGAGGCCTAGCCACAGGAGTGGCCACGTGGTCGCTGTGACAGCAGCCGACGGCGTCGGAGCTGCAGGCTCATCCGGGGCCCCTCCAGCTGTCCCTCCCTGGCACGGACGGTGCTAACTGCCCGCTTCCCGCAGCAGGGACCTGAGGCAGAGGGTAAGCGCCCAGCGTGGGCCACACGCTCTTCTTGTAAAGAGCCCGATGGTAAGTGACTTAGGCTTCGTGGCTCAGCCAGTAGGCGGCACGTAAATGGGCAGCGCGGCTGAGTCCTAACAGCACTCCGTTGACAGACACTGAATCTAAGGTCGTGTAATTACCACATGTCGTGGAATAGTGCGGTGCTCATGATTTCACCGGCTTGGGTAACTCAGGTGTAACTCAGGTGTTAGGCAACCAGCCCCAAACACCTGATCCCCTCCCCCCCACCTCCCTGAAGAGCCCCGAGCTGGACACGGCCCCCTCCAGACCTCCCTCCCCCCAAATGCTTTCTTCTCTGCCTCCCCTTTGCAGGAGGCTGGGGGGGGGAGGCGAGGGCAGAGAGGGGCAAGGTGCGCCCGTGGGATGCCCACCACCCAGGCGTGGCCTGGCACTGAGCTGCCCTGTGACCAGCCCCCATGCTCCTCCTGGAAGCCCCCGCCCCGGCCTTCCCTACGGGCCTCCAGGACCCCAGGTGCTGGATGTGCGGTGGGGCCGCTTCGGGCCTGCCCACTGCGGCCTCTGGGCCCCGCCCGCCTGCGGCCCGGCCCCGGACTTCCGGTCGCACCTGGAAACAGCAGGCCCAGCCTGTGTGCTCATCCACTGCCAGGCCTGCTATACTGGTTCAGGGGGAAGGGACATTTCCCAGGATGGAGCCACTGGCTGGGGTCCCCCTGGCGGCCCGGCACTGTCCCCTCACTCACCCAAGCCCGCCCCGCCCCTGCCCTGCTCTTCCCCAGAGCTGTCTGTGCGCCCCAGCTCGTGGGCACTTGGGCAGGGACCCCGCGGTGCCAGGCTCCAGGCACCTCCCAAGGCCCAAAAGGTGTGGAGAAGCCAGAGGGGCGGGGGGGGGTCTGGAGAAGCAGAAGGGCAGAGCAGGGTGGACTGGGGTGGGGTGGGGTGGGGTGACTGGGGTGGGGTGGGGGTGACGGGTGGGGGGGTGGAGGGGGTGGTGGGGTGACGGGGGTGGGGGGTGGGGGGCGGGGTGACTGGGGTGGGGTGGGGGTGACGGGTGGGGGGGTGGAGGGGGTGGTGGGGTGACGGGGGTGGGGGGTGGGGGGCGGGGTGACTGGGGTGGGGTGACTGGGGGGGTGGGATGGGGCGGGGGGGCCCACCTTGCTCTTCTCCTGCTGCAGCTCAATCTGGATGTCGGTGAGCTTGGCCCGAAGCTCCTCGTTGGCAGCCTGCAGAGCAGCGAAGGCCTCCGTCTTGTCCCCCTTGCCTCGGCCGCCCGTGCCCTTCTTGGACATGGTGAGGGTGGCCCACGGGGGCCCAGGGAGGGCCGCGCGTCTAGGCTGGGCTGTCCGCACCTTTCGGGCAGGTAGCACCGCGCTGCGGCTCTGCTACATTTTCTCCATCACCTGCAGGGAGAGCACACCTGCTGAGCAGTCGCCTCCTGCGACCCTGGTGGGGCTGGGGGGGGGGAGGGGGCGAGACTGGCGGCCCATGCGTCCTGAGGAAGCCGTCGTGACCGCACACCCGGTCCCCAGCCCCAGACCACAGGGCCCCTCGGCCCTCCACTCCACAACTCTGACAGAGACCCCACGAGTAAAGCACTTCCCCGCGCCTGGCACGTCCGGAGAGCTGGGCAGAGTTCTTTCTCTGCCCCTTTGGAAGAAGAGGTTGGGGACCCCACTTTAAGGCCCGAACTTCATACCTGGGTGGGTGGCATCGTGGTGGCAATGGTGGGTGTGAACCAGGCGCTTCCCGGACAGAGGCGTGGAGGAGCGGACCTCCGACGCCTCCAGGGGCCCAGGAAGTCCGCCCCGGAGGACGTGCCCCGAGCCAGCTTAGGGAGGAACGTGCACCCTCATCCAGCCCACGGAGCGGGGGCGCCGCCCTGGGCCACCCACCCAGCACAGCCTCTGTGGGCCTGCGGCTGCATTTCCTTCCGCAGGCGCCCCAGCAGCCCAGCAGCCCTGCGCAGACGGCGTGGGCCTGGATCAACAGCGGAAGGCGGCTGGAGTCCGGCTCCGCACTCACCGCCCGAGAAACCCATGCACAGAGCGGGAACGAGTGTCCCTAACCCCAAGGGACTTGCACATTAGACGCCAGGACAGTTGTCCAGATGAGTGACCCGGCCACAGAGGTGCCCTGTACCCCACCCACACCAGCTGACAGGCTGGGACAGTACCTCCCAAACCTGGGATGTTACATCGAAGTTCAGCCTTTACAGTGGGGGCCCGGGCCCGGGGTGGGGTGGTGGCACTTCCCGGAAATGCTCTCCGATGTATCCCTGCAGCCCCTGATCCCTCCCGGCTCGGCTCCTGAGGCCCTGAGACACAGAATGAGGACAAAGCCCCAGGAGGAGGTGCGGGGAGCCCGGGTGGCACAGCTGGGAGAGGGGCTGGCAGAAGGCAGGGGGGCCAGGGGGGCAGGGGGCTCACAGCCAGCCTGGGGTGCGGAGCCCGAGGGCAGCCACCTTCCAGGGCGGGAGAGTGAGGAGCCGGCTAGGGTTTAAAGGTGTTCGGCTGTATCTCAGAAGAGGCGCCAGCAGACACGCGGCCCACTGCCCGAGCCCGGTGGCTGGCTCACGTCCCCTGCCCACAGCCGCCTGTCCGGGCGTGAAGAGCACATTCGATGGAGGGGAGGGGCCCAGGCCAGGCTCTCAACTTGGGGTATGTTTTCGAAGTCACCCCTGGGCACCGTTTGGCAGATTTTCTAGCTCTGTGTGCAAGGGGCTTCCACCGGCTTGCGGTGACCTTTCCTGCGTCCCCCGTCTTCACAGGCACCACGAGGCCCGTGGGCTCCTGCTGGGCAGGCAGCGCCACACCACGTGGCTGCGGCTGGTAGACCAGGCCTGCGTCCCAGCACCAGGCCCCCCAGTGCTGCCACTGCGTGGTCACAGCGTGTCCCCACGGCTGCAGCCCTCCCGCCCGCCCGGCTGCTGCTCGGGCACCGGGTGCCGGGAGGAAAGGAGGGTAAAATGTGGCCAACAGGAGAGCCGTCCCCCGCTCGGCTCTGCCCCTGGAAACAGACGGAGCCGCTTTACGGGTCCTGGCTGCTCTGACCCTCCGCGTGAGCCACTGTCTGCCACGCGCTTCATTTGTGGCTGCGGTCAGCCACGTGGCATGGTGGGTCTCCGTTTGGGCAAGGGAAAGTGTAGGAAGCTAAAAGTCTTGTCCAAACTGAAGGAAAGCCCCCAGGTCCCGCTTTGGTCACCCAAAGCGCTAGCGGGGCCAGGACGAGAGGGAATCACACCCGCTCTGCTGGCCGGTTACGTCCAGGCTGACGACACGTGCCAGCTGCCGACGGGGCCGCTGAAGGCGCAGGTGAGGCACCCGTTAGGCGGCACGAGGCAGGAGAGGAAACCCGGCCCGGGGCTGGGCTCCCAAACCAGAGCAGGGACCGGGGGGAAGCGGGGGCCGGGGGGAGCGGCCCTGGCTCCGGCCACCTCTGGCCAGAGACCATTGCAAGGAGAGCTGGCCGGGCCCTGGCCCTGCTGGGCGGTGGCGAGGCCCCCGGGGGGGCAGTGAGCGTCCATCTGCTCACGGAGACCGAGCCCATGGATCCCGGCAGGACCCCTGGCCTAGGAGCTGCCTTCCCCCCAAACCCAGTCTGCTTGAGAAAATGACAGAAAAGGACGCCTGCTCTTCACACACCCAGTGGCCGCACTCTGCCTGCCGGTGGCATGTCTGGGACGCATCGCCTGGGGTGCCTGCGGGTCCCAAACACCCGCTGAGGCTCTTCAACGCCCTGGCCCGGGGACACCCTTTGGGACCCGCTGGCCTGGGGCTTCGGGTCAAGGGCTTGGTGTCTTCAGCCCACGGCCCTCTGTGAGCAGAGCCCTGTGTCCCCGGACCAGTGTCAGCGTGTCCCCCGGACCCGGGCCTCCTGGCCACCCTCCCCACACCCTCTCCATGCTGTTCTCCACAGCGAGTCCCAGGTCACCATTTCAAGACACAGCCTGGCCCTGAGGGCAGAGAGGGCCAAGGGCCCCCAGAAAAACACAGGCAGACGGCTTTCAGGACATCGGAGAAGTCATTTCACGAGCGCCTGGGTGGCTCACTCAGCCAAGCAACTGACTTTTGATCTCAGCCCAGGTCTTTTTTTTTTTGTTTTTTTTTTTTTAATGTTTATTTGTTATTGGGAGACAGAGAGAGACAGAGCACAAGCAGGGGAGGGGCAGAGAGAGGGGGAGACACAGAAGCCGAAGCAGCTCCAGGCTCCGAGCTGTCAGCACAGAGCCCGACGTGGGGCTCGAACTCACAAATCGCGAGATCACGACCTGAGCCGGAGTCGGACGCTCAGCCACCTGAGCCACCCAGGCGCCCCCTCAGCTCAGGGTTCTGAGTCCAAGCCTCACATCGGGCTCCACGCTGGTGTGAAGCCTACTTGAAAAAATAAAGAAGAGGAGGAGCAGTCATCTGAGGCCCCGGGCGTCTTGGGAAAGCAGGAGGGACGGGCACAGCCGCCCGCAGGCAGGAAGGAACCCAACCACCCGGGGGACAGGACGGCTCACGGGGGTGCCACCCCCAGGCCTGGCTGGGAAGTGAAGACGGACCCGACGCGCCCTCAGGGGCGATCCTGGCGGGGTCTGAACCCCTCTGGGCACCAGGTACTGGGCGGAGCTGCCCCGGGCCGGCCTGGGGACCCCGGCCTGGACTCCGTCACCTCCAGACTTGCCGCCACCAGTGCGCGCTGGAGCCCCTCGGCGCAGGCCCCTCGGTGAATGACCCCCCTTGGGCTGACCCCTCCCCAGGGGTCGCTGTTCGGGGAGACGCTGCTGTGGGAAGGCCCCGTGTTCTCCTCACTTGTTGCAGATAAAACCCTTCCTCTTCCTCTTGTCGGGCCTGGTTGTGTCTTTTGTGTCCCTGACGCCTCCAACAAGGACCCGAGTCTGGGGTGACAGCCCTGGCCTCCTGCGTCACCTGGTCAAGAACCCCCATGTCTCCCGCTGAGCCCCAGGTTCCAGTGAGCCCCCAGTGTCCTAGACTATTTGCCAAGGCTGCATTCCTCCCCACCTGTTCTTTACTCAGTGTTCTCTGTAATGGGTTCATTATTCTTTATGTATTTAAAATGAAACTGTGCAGGCCTTTCCTGGATAGAGAGCCGGCATCACAGGGGGCTAAAGAAGGAGACACCCTCACCCGGTTCCAGACGGACCCACAGCCCCGAGGCGCGCCCCCCACCCCGTGCCCTCTGCCTGGCCGCCCCCAGTGGCCACCGTGCTGTGTGCTCCGTGTGCAACGTGCTCCCACGTGGCTCAACACAGACCGGTCTGCTCTGGCCCGGGCTCCGTGCTCCCGCTCGCCGCCCCCAGTCCCCGGAGCTGGGCTGCTCCTCTGGGCACTGGCTGCCCTGCCCGGCCAGCGTCTATGCGTCGGGGGCCTCGAGCCCTCCCTGACATGTCCCCAGAGGCAGAGTGAATATTCTTCTCTGTCCTGGGGACAAATGTGATAAGCATTTGACTTTATTATTTGCGGAAATGAGTGGGAACAGAATAGATGCCCCGGGTCCTCTGAGGGCACCTGATGGCCCTGCTCGCCCACACCCCGGGGGGGATTCTGGACGGGCTCCTCCTTCTGGCCCCGGCTGCACCCTTCTCTGGGGGCACCTGCTGGGACCCCATGTCCTACTAGTACTGAGGTCAGCTTGAAGCCTGCAGGGGACAAGGTTGGGTGGAAGGAAGCATCCCTGAGACCCCCGCCGCCTATGTGGGGGGACAGGCTCCTGCAGAGGAGGTAGAGGTGGCACCGAGGGTGCCCGGGGTCTCCTGTTCCGAATCATGTGCTTCCGTGCGCCCGGTGGCTTTGCCGTCCACGCCCACACCCGGTAAAGCCTGGGCTATAACGATCATGTCCAGCTCACGGATCCCACATCTTTCCTGTCACCCTGGCAGACAGAAGAGGTGGCTGCAGGGGGAAACGAGGACTTGGGGGGCCTGGGCTTTGCTGGATGCTCTGGCGGAGCCCTCACCCCTGCCTGGGAGAATCACTGGCGTCTGCAAGCAGGGGCTGGGGGTGGAGGGTCAGGTCAGGGCAGGCTGCCCAGGCGGCACCAGCCCCCCACCCACCAGGTCACGGGCAGGCGGGAGTGTCGTCTCCACGGGCCCATGGTCAGCGCTGCTTGAACCATCCCCAGCGGGTCCCTGCTGGCCTCCTGGGTTTCTCCCCGAGGAGCCCAGGCTCCTGCCCTCACTGCAGCGTGTAGGGAGGGGGTCCCTGGGGGCAGTAAAAACAGCCTGCGTGCAAACAGCTCAGGGCAAGGCCCTGTGTAATCCGCAAGTGTCCTGGGTGCAAAGGGGCTTCACTTTGTAAAGCTGATAGTATCTGACCCGGATCCTTTCCAGGTTAAAGACTTTATCTACGGAGAAGAAAGGGTGAATCTGATGTTTCTAATCCTTATGATTTCCACGGAA